GTTCACAACACAGAGAACCACAAAGTACGCCAAGGTCAGTGTCACCAAGTGTTAACGCTGGAAGGATCTTTAGAAACCACCTGGTCCATCCATCCCTTCCTCCCTGCCCTTTACTGAGGGGAAACTGAGGCCCAGAAAGGGGAAGGGATTTGGTCCAGGTCACACGGCATCAGTGACAGAGACAGGACAAGAACTTGAGTCTCAGCTGCCTCCTGCACATCCTCTACTGAGGGACTGAGCCCTCAGCCCGAGCATGTGCCTTGACCGGGAGTCGAACCAGCAAACTTTTGGTGCACAGGACGACTCCCAACCAAACGAGCCATACCAGCCAGGGCCCAGGCCACTTTCTAAGGAGGCAACAAGGTAGGGGACAGGGGAAGGGGAAGAAAAAGAGAGGGCTGGGGGTCTGGGGGCAGTCAGACAGGAGGTATGTGGGGCCAGCCGCCTGCTGATAAGAGACCCACAATGCCATTGCAAAAGGATATTTTATCAAGATGTAATTTTTCCCACTGCAGACGCTATTTTCTTTCTCATGCAGACTATACTGACCTTCGAGATAAGGCACCTAGACATGCTCACACTAAGGCAGCCAAAACATGAGGCAGGAGGAAAAAAATTCCTTCTTAATCTCCCCCCACCCTAGCCCACTCCCCCCTCATTTCCTCTCATTCTCTCCAAGTTCTCATGTGCCCGCCTCCCCCCCCCCCCCAACACCCCCACCTCCCTGGGGCTGGCTGGCCTCTTCCTGCCTTCCAGTAAGTCAGCCCAAAGGAGCCAGGAAGGTATGTGGCCCAGGGGAGGTCAAAGGAGAGAAGCCCAGAGGGGCCTCCCCTGGAAACAGAGGCTCAGGCCACAGGCGCTCCCATCACGATGTGCCAGCGAGGGCAGCAGTGGGGGACATGTTTTTATGGGCTTCCCTGGAAGCTTCTCTCCCTGCCCCCACAGCCCTGCAAACGAAACCCAGAGCTCTCTCTGGTTTGGGGGTTTAAGCTGGAGGTGATTAGAGCCTTCCCCACCTGCAGATTCCCTGCTCAATGACCCTCACTCCTGACCTCCTGGTCCAAGGCCTGATGGGAATTTCCAGGGAAGGGGCTACCCTGCCTATTTCCACCTAAAAACTCCCAGACGTAAGAGACCTGGCCAGACAGGAGATAGGAAACCCGCCAGTCATTGCTGGAGCACTACCTTCTGCTCTTTAGGCTCTCTTGGCCTCAGTCTCCCCATCTTCCGGCTAAGGAGGTTGGACTCAGGTGTCCTGGCCCTGAAATTCTACCTTTGGCTTTTTCAGAAGACGATGTTCTACCTCGGGCCTCCTGGGCGCTCAGCAAGTTGGCTGTTTGGCCCCCGTGTATCAGTGCCCCGCCCCTGCTCTGCTCAGGAAGTCCACCCCACCCTTCACATCTGGATGGAATTTACCCCCCAAAGCAATTCAATTACCGGTGATCTGATCAGGACGGCTCATGTGTCAGCGGGGGCCCTGGTGAAGGTTGCTCCGCCGGAGATGAGGGTGCCTGGGCCTGCGGTCCACGCCTCTCTCAGCCTGGGTGCCTCCTGAGGCCCCTGGGGGGGCAGAGCGTGGTCACCAGGGTCCTGCTGAACAGGAGGTGGAGGCCCAAAAGGGGCTGCCACCCCCTCCCCCCCGCCCTGACTCAGTCCCCCTATTCATTTAAGACCTACGTCAGCACGTAGAGACCAGAAGGAGAGGAAGATGGTGCATGACTTTTACACCAAGTGGCCCAGTCCAGTGCCGGGCCAGTGGAGTCTATGAGGGTGGTAACCTCATGACGTATGTTCCGATCCCTAGCAGAGGAGCCTGGTGGGAAAGGCTGGCGCCTGCCTGCAAGACTGCGATGGGGGGGTTTTGGGAACCGAGTGCAGTGCCTTCGCGTGCCCTCTTGGGAATTAGGATCCTCCCTCCTGTCTTCCTGTGGCTCCTGCTAAGTCGGCCCATGAGAGGCAGTGGGCTTTGGGGTCTCCTGTTTCTTCCAGCCTGCATTTACTGCCTCTTATTCTGAGCCCGTTAGTCGAGAACTGTTTTCCCGACCCTCACCACCCACACACACAGGAGCGTCCTGGGCCCAGGAGTCCTGGGCTGGAGTGCGCTGTGCCCTTCTGCAGGGTGACCTCCGGGGGGTGGGGAGCACCAGGCTGCCCAAGGAGGGGTGAATCGGGCCAGATTGGAAACAGAGCGGGTCAAAACCCTCACGCGCAGCAGCAGCAGGGCCACACCTGTGAGTGTCCACTGCCCTCCAGGTGGCACCATGGGCATGGGCCGGGCAGGGCTTGTACGGCTGAGGACGCAGCACACACGTACACACACACCACCTCCTTCCATCAGAGAGTCTCCCCAGGACCACTCTAGAGTTCATTCCAGCAAATATTCATTCATGCTCAGCTCTGACGTGGGGAGAATGGAAAGTCTGGGGCAGAATCTCCACCGCTCCAGGGGCTCACGCTGGCCCTGGAGATAGAAAACACTGGCCTGGAAGCCAGGTAAGAGCACGGGCTGGAGCCAGGGAAGGCAGCGCTTGAATGGGGGCTCTGCCACGTTCTGGCTGGGGCTTCAGGCAAACCATTTAGCCTCCCCACCAGCCTCCTCTGGTGTCAGGCTGTGGGGAACAAGTGTCTGGCACAGAGGACCTGCTCCACCAGTGGCTGCTTTATTATTATCTTACGAAACAATTAGCATCGAGACAAAGACCTGTCACTTGGGAAACCTTCCTACCGCAGAGCCCAGCCAAGAACTCATCTGAAGCCCTCCCTCCGAAAAGGCCGCTGAGCGGTCGCCACTAGAGTAGCAAGTTTGTGCGCCAAGTTCATGGGCCTGTCTCGTCAGCAAGCTGCGGACAGAAGGCAGATGATGGGCAGATGGCGGCTCAGAGCCCTCTGGGCAGGAAGGCTTCCCGAGGCCAGAGGATGCCACACCGACAGGGGTGGGGAGTCTGGGTTGGGAAGGAGCGGGTGCTCAGGTGGGGCACCAGCTTTCCAGGAATCTTGAATGTCCCTCCAAGTCGTTGGCTGCACTGGGGCTATGGGAGCTGCTGCTGGGTCACTGCGGGGAGGTGACAAGATGCAAGGGCTTCTCCAGGAAGCTGCTGGTGGCTGATACAGCTCACTCCAAGGGGCATCGCTGGTGAGGTGCCTGCTGGACCTTCTGGAACCCCTACAGGCCTTAATGCCAGGATCCATCCCCAACACGAAATTCCAGACAGGGGCATCACCGTGCCCTTGGCGAAACCCCTCACATCCTACCTATCACATGATCTCCATAATTCAATGAAATCGTTACCATCACTTCACAGAGGAGAAAAGCTGTGTCCTTAGATTGGGGATGTCACACAGCTGTTAGGGGCAGATTGCGGCCAGGAACCCAGCTCTCCTGCATCAAAACCCCTTTGTCATGGAAGGTTTGGGGTGCTCTGCCTGCCCCCTCTCACTGAGCGTGCAGACACTCAGCGGTGACACGGTGCTGGCAGTCAAGGGACCAGGGCTGGGGCCCCGCAGCGAGCCCCCTGAAGATGCTGACCACTGGTTCTGGCCACCAGCTCTGTTACTTACTACCAGTGTGGCCTGGGGACGTCTCTGAGCCTCGATTTCTCCCGGATGGGGAGAAGAGATCTGCAAAGAGGGAGGCTCTTTCTCTCCATGAGCCCAGGGAGGGTGTGGACTTGTCTCTTGTACCGGCTACAGCCCCCGTGTCTGCACAGGACTCAGTGGTAGGAACTCCATCAACATCACCCTCATAAAATTATTCACATTTATTATGGGCACTTACTGTGGGTCAGGCACTGTGCTAACTAAACCAAATGGATGGTTGGACAGCTGGTGAGAAGGAACTGAACTCTAACAGCAATGGGAAGCTGAGGCCGCTGCTGGGAGGTGGGGGGGGGGGGGGGGACTGCAGACTGGGAGGAAGGCACACTGACCGGAGGGAGCCGGGGAGCCGGGCATGCCTGCGAAGCGTGTCAGCAAGCGTGCTCTGAAGACCTGGGCCCCATGTTCTGCTCTGCCATCGTCTTGCTGTGTGGCTTTGACCGAAGCCCAGTCCTCTCTGGGCCTCTGTTCTTCCTCCTGCAGGACAGACGTAGGACACAGGACACCTGGGGCCAAGCTGTCAGGGAGGGAGGCTCCGCACCCGAGGCCTCCGGGCCTGTTGGGACCCGCCATCCTAAAGGGGATTTCCTGGGACCAGCCCAGTTCCCAGCCCTGCTGACGTCTCCCCTGGACCGGTGCCCAGAGTTGGGGGGTTTGCTCCAATCAGCCCTCTAGTGAGAAAGGCATGCGGGCAGGCTCCCAGATCACACCTGGGCCCTAGGGTCTCCCCACCTCCTCCCCTGAGGTGGGGAAGTGGGAGATCTCTCCCGTTGAAAGGAGCCACTGCCCCTTGGCGCAACATCTGATTGCTGTGCGACCTCAGGCAAGTCCCTGCCCCTCTCTGGGCCTTGGTCTCCTGTCTCGGAAATGAGTAAGGCAAAGCTTTCCAAGGTCTTTCAGACTCTGACATCCGGGGTCCTGCTGAGGGCTGGGGGTACTGGGACAGGGAATTGGGAGGCGGGGGCTGGATTCCAGGGACTTGCTTTTCCTGCCGCAGAGCCAAAGGCAGAGGGTTGGAAGGAGGGCAGCGGGAGAAAAGGAGCCCAAGGCCTCCAGGTGGCTGTTCGAGGGGGCAAGGCGAGTCTGAGGTTTTGGAAACATATTTATTTTTAAGTGTCCGGTGTCACTGGGGGGGCTTTTTCTTTAGGTTTTGAAATGCTCCAGAAGTCAGCACTCCACATGTGCGTGTGTGCCGAGCAGAGCATGGGCTGTATTTATTCATCCTTTAGCCCGAGCCCTTAAAAATATAGACGGCTAATGTCTTCAGTATGTATGAAATATCCCATATGCTCGGAAACAAAAGGGGCTCTGTTATTAAAGTTTCATTTCCACACGCCCCCTCCCCTCCCTCCTGCCCGCCCCCCTGACACCCTGCCCTCCTCCCATCCTGCTCAGCCTGCTGGAGACAGAGCAGGATCGAGGAGGCAGGCGGGCAGCCGTGGCCAGAGCCCGGGCACAGCCGGGCCCTGCGTGAGTGGGTGCGGATTCTGGCTCCAGGTGAGGGGAGGCCTCGGGAGAGGAGAGCAGGGTCTTCCAGGGGAGAGGGGTCTCCGAGGTCCCCAGGGTGGCCAGTGGAGGAATGGGGGGCAAGGTGGCTCTTCTTGTGGGCGCCGATGGGGCCGGGACCCTGGCAGGGCCCCACTGTCTGGGACGGAAATGCCCGCTCTGCTGCTAACTGAAACCACATGTGTCTCTAGGCAGCGGGGCAGAGACGCCGCCAAGCCTGGGGCCTGGGGCTCGGGGCTGGGGGGTGGGGGAGATGCAGGCTGGCCCTCCGTGTGCTGTGCCCCGGGGTGTATGTGTGTGAGGGGGTCCCCTCAGGAAGGGTTGGGGTCTTTTGCATTCGTACAAGTGAGAGCATGTCAAAGAGAGTGAGGGAATGTCTGAGTTCCGTGTGTGCGCACGGTGTGTGTGTGTGTGTGTGTGTGAACGTGCACGCGTGTCTGCTGAACTGGCCTCCCCTCTTGGCCTCCTGTGGCCCAAGACCTGGGCAGACTTCTACCTGTTACCCAGAGCCTGGGAGGGGGTGCCTCCTGAGAGGGTCCTCTAGGGAGGAGGCACCCCAGCTGAGTTGGTGGTAGCCCTTTTAGGCTGGGACTCCTCTATGGCCACCTTTTTCCTCCAGCCAGTTCGGTCTTCTCACACCTGTCAAGCATCTACCCATTTCCCAGAAAGAAAGGCTGAGGCAGAGAGCAAGGGGCTGCTGACAATCTCTTCTCCCTCGTCTGTGTTCATCTCTTTCAGAATGCTTGCCTCCAGGAGTGCGGCATGGTCACGGTGGCCCTAGAAGGTGAGAAAACCAGGCCCGGGCGAGGGCACAGCTTGCCCACCGCATCAGGGAGACAGGGTGGGCTGTCCAGGTCTGGAGGGGTCGCAGGATTCGTGGGGCCTGGGCTCAGCCTTGGGGGAAAGGCTGGAGGCTGTGCTCAGATTCTGTGGCAAATGGGGGCACCCTGGGAGTTGCGGGGGGACCTGAGTCCTGGGTGGTCTCTCCCCTAAGGAGCGAGCCTGGCTGAGAGCTGGGTCTGGGTTCCTGCGGTGGTCCTGCCACTGCCTTGCTGTGGATGTTGGACAGGCCTCCTTTCTTCTCCAGGCCTCAGTTTCCCCGTCTCTACAGTGGCAAGGCTGAGCCAAGATGGCATTTCCCGAAGTGCGGGTTTGCTGCTTCGAGATGGTGCTGTGTGGGCTACCAGATTTCATTTAACAAAGATTGCTATTTTCACCCATGTTTGGGGGGAAAACATAAAAGCACATCCAACCAGTGACTGGATTTCGATAAAAATATAAACTACCCAACCCTAATGAATGACGACTGGGGACCCTTCGGGTCCTGTCCATTCTGGCACCAGGCTCTCTTTATGCTTCTACCATTTAAAATGATCACAGGGGTTGGTTCTGAGTGTCTGGGACCCGAAGATGTGTGTAGCCAATGATGGCGAACCTATGACACGCGTGTCAGAGGTGACACGCGAACTCATTTTTTTTGTTGTTGATTTTTCTTTGTTAAATGGCATTTAAATATATAAAATAAATATCAAAAATATAAATCTTTGTTTTACTATGGTTGCAAATATCAAAAAATTTCTATATGTGACACGGCACCAGAGTTAAGTTAGGGTTTTTCAAAATGCTGACATGCCGAGCTCAAAAGGTTCGCCATCACTGGTGTAGACCATCTTTTGGTCCCCACAGATTAGCAGCCCTGTAATTCTTTGGTTAGAGTGAAAAGCTCAGCTGTCATTTTGGAATGGTGTGTGTGTGTGTGTGTGTGTGTGTGTGTGTGTGTGTGTGTGCGCGTGTGTGTGTGCGCGCGCTTTGCGTGGGAAGGGACGGGGATGGAATAGGCAGAGCTGGGAACCAGATCAGCCCATCCCAGATCAGGGCTGGGTGCCCTAGGTCAAAGGCAAGGAGTATGGGAAAGAGATTGTTCCCTGACGGACATTTTCAAGTGCTGTGTCCGGCGTCAGCCCTGCTTTGAATTGCTGGGGTGTGTGGGTAGGCCAGGGGCCAGCTGACTTCAGCTTTTCCTGCCATTCAGCCTTGGCTCCCTGGCCACTTGGCTGCATTTTATGAGCCAACTCAGGACCGGCCTGGGAGGTGGGCGGGGTGTGGGGAGCCCCTCGGTAGAGGCACCCCCGTCACTTCCCCAGGCTGGGCTGGTTGGAGCTGGTGTCATTGGGGACGGGCCCTGCATGCTGCCCCCTAACCCAGTGGCTCGCTCCTGCTCTTGTTACTCCTGACGAAGGCTGTCTATCTGTGAACCTTCACTGGTGATTGGTCTCATCCCTGCCCTCCTGCAGGGGGCGCAGCTTCCCCAATGGTCCCTCTTGTCTCACCCGCAACAGGGAGAGGGCACCAGACTTTGGCTCATGGGTGTGGATGGCCTCCTGGGGTGGGGAATGAATTCTTGACCCCTTCTTGGGGAGACAGCAGGGGCAGAGGAAGGAGCCCAGGGCAAGCCCCTGGGCCTCTGTGTTCCCCTCCGCGCCCTGAGGACGACGTCCCCGGCAAAGCCGAAGTCATTTTCTAGCTCTGTCCTAGGACGGAGTGACATCTGTCTACTTGTAGGGGGTTCATGTTTCTCTAGAAAGACGCCCTCCCGGGGGTGGGAGGTGGGAGCTTTAGGGCTAGGCTCCCTGGAGCAGGGATGGGTCACATGGAGTCATCCACACCCTTGGGCCCAGGTTCAAAGCTGTTTCAAATCCTGGGGAAGCAGCTGGCCATGGTCAGGGGCACATTCCCTGCTTGCAGGACTTATCACATTCTAGCTGGCCTTGCGGGTCCTGCAGCTACACCCAAGGCCAAGGGCAGACAGAGGCCGGCTCTATGACGTGTTGGGCAGCTTTGTGGGCATCGTTACAGAGAGATCTGCGGGTCCGGGAGTGGCAGGATGTGGGCTTAGAAAGGAACCTCTTCCTAATGAAACATTCTCCGTTGGAAAATGAAACTGTTTATAGGACCATGGTCCCCTTAGATATGTGGGCGAAGCCTGGGTTCAGAGGGAGGCCAAGGGTTCTCGTTAAACTGGGGTTACCCACTCACAGCGACGCGCTGGGGCTCCCCCTTGTTCGCTCGCCCCTTGATTTCTTTTTCCTGGGCCCCGTACAGGCCGAGTGTGGAGTGGCAGCAAAGCGTTTCACCCACACGGTCACCTCCAGGTCTGTGGGTGACGGTATCGGCTCCACGCAAAGGAAGGCTGAAGTTTGCTCTTGGGTCAGGGAGAGAGACTCGGAAAACAGGAGGCAGGGTGGCCGCACTCTGCTCCCGGGCGCCGGTCAGCCTTTCCAGGCTGCCGCGTCTCCTTAGCTCCGCTTCCCTCCTCTGTAAAACGGGTTTTCGTGAAGACCCAGGTGATGAAGCCCACAAGCCCTGGCACACACTGGGCCTGCCACCTGATCAATCATAGGTCAAAGGTATCGGGCCTGTCAATAACTCTGCTGACTTAAGGAGGGAGTGATGGTCATTTTCCATGAGAGAGAACGTGCCCTGAGATGAGGGAAGAGCACCAACTCTTTCTCAGGCCTCGGTACAGACCCAGCCTCGCCCCTCCTGGCTGTGGAAGGTTACTTACCCCTCTGGGGCCCAGTTTCCTCATCTGTCACGTCAGGGAAGCGATAGCGCCTGCCTCACAGGGTGGCTGTGGGGGTTAAATGAGCCAACCTGAGGCTCCTGCGCATAGTCGGTGCTCAGTGCACGCTGCCTAGTTAGATGGGAACCTGGAGGCCAGAGGCCTGGCCCTGGGCTGACCCCCCCCCCCCCCAAATAGTCCCTCCAGTGCCCGGTCAAGACACAGCCTTTGAAGATAGGAAGACAGGACCGAGACATGGGGAGCCCCAGGGGCTAGTTTCAGATCTTGAGGCAAACACTCCCAAACACCTCCTGGGGGATGCTGTGCGTCAGGCCCGGGCAGTGGGCGGGCAGTGACCTTGCTGTTCGTGATGATTGGCAGCAGGAGCACCGGACTAGTTCCTCCTGCAGGAAACCAGGAAACTGAGGCTCGGACCGGGGAGGGGCCTGTGTGGGCTCAACGTGGCAGTGAGGCAGAAACTGGAGGGCGGAGGCAAGAAGCTGGGGAACCGAGTGGGGAGAGGAGAGGGGAGGCCCTGTGCCTACCCTGCCAGGGCCTCCCTCCCAGCTCTGCTCGCTGGAAGCAGGGATGGTTAACAGGGAACAGGGAAAGGAGAGAAACAAAGCAAACAGTCAGAGAGCCCGGAGCTTGAAGTGCTGGGATTGTTTGGTCTGGCTGAGCACTCCTGGGCCACTCCCGGCAGCTCTGCAGACAGACTCCAACCCCCACCACATGTGTGTGTGCACACGCACATGTGCACAGATACAGACACACAGCTACACACAGGCATACAGACATGCACACACACACACACACATACTGACAGACCTATCAGGACAAACACCACAACGCAAGCACGCACACACTTCACATATGCATAATGACACTATGCGACACACACCACAACCAACGCACGCACGCACGCAACATATGCATACTGACACCTATGCAGACACACACCACACACACGCACGCACACACGCACATATGCATACTGACACCTATGCAGACACATACCACACACACGCACACACACAGCACGGAAGCTCCAAGCTCAGATGCTAGGGTGGCGGGTTTCTTCTAGCTCACCCTCCTCTCCTCCCTATAACTGACACTAGCTCACCCTCCTCTCCTCCCTATAACTGACACTAGCTCAGCCCCTCACTGCACCACCCTAGCACCTACCGTGCACACCTGAGCTCTAAGCTCTTCGAGTATATAATCTTGTTTAATCCCCACAGGAGCCTGGGAGGCAGGCACTAATCACCCCTGGTTTGCAGATGGAAAAACAGGCTCGGAGAGGTGAAGGAACTTGCCCGAGAGCACATAGTTTGTTCGGCAGCCACTCCAACGCGGCCCGCAGAGCACAGGGCGCAGGGGCCGACCACTGCCCCACACTGTCTCGAGGGCAGCGGCTCTGGCTCTGTGC